ATTGGATTAAATTAGCTATATTCGCTCAGATTTGAAGAGTTTCAAGCATATGATGAAAAATCTTAAATATTTATCGATTTATAGACACACTTATTTTAACTTAACTTCATGCTCCACCAATTTGAATAGGTTCCAACACTTTGTTGTTTTGTGTTGTCTGTCCTACATTTGGCTCCTCTCAGGAGACCCTATATATTTTCATATTTTACTGGTTCTGAACTCCGGGTCAGACATTTCTAACCTTTTTTTTTCTGTTTAACTTAATTTGGTTTATTTAAAAAAATATATATATATGTGTAATAATAGATACATAATTATAGCAACAGAAAAAAAAGTAGAACTTTGAGTCACAACAGACTTCAGAGGCACATAAAGGCAGCTTCTTTGTCAGCCTTTAATCACCTGAAGAACATTTCCAGGATTGAAGGAATAATGTCCAATCTCTCCACCCAGAAGTAAAACCAAACAGGGAGAAGCAGCATTTAGTTCCTCTGCTCCACTGATCTGGAACAAATTTTCCAGAAGACTGGAAAATAGATGAAAGGCTGACAACTTTAAGTCAGAATTAAAAACCTATTTGTTTTACAGCTGCCTTTGGATGTTGAAGTTGAACCCTTAACTGAGGTATTATTAATTTAAGAATGAGACCCTACTGTTTTATTTGTTTGACACATGTTTTTTATCTTTATATGCTTTTATACTACAGTACTTGTATTTTCCTTCAATCTAATTAATCTAAAGCACTGAATTGTCCGTGCGCTGAATTGTGCAATACAAATAAACGTGTCTTGCCTTCTCTTCATCCATTGCCAAGAACATTTTTGTTTTTAGGTATTTGCAATTAAATACAGTGTTATTCTTAAATTACATAAAATCGTTTCCTTTTATGACTTTCTTTTGATTTCTGATTAAACACTGAAGTAACAGAAAAATACCCAGACCTGCCAGGTAAGACAAAACCTAAAGTTTCCCCTCCATCTCCATCACCTTAACATAGAAACATGTGAAAGGAGCACGAAGAACAAATATATAGATGGATGGATGTATGGATGGCTGGATGGATGGATGGATGGATGGATGGATGGATGGATGGATGGATGGATGG